CCTATGTAAGACTTTTACTTCTGCTGCTGCAAAATAGATGCCCCCCGCTGTTTACTTCCTGTAGCAGCAGGTAGTGGAGTTCCATCATGCCACAGGAGCATGCACATGGGATCTAAAGTCCTTCAGGACATATACATTCTTAGGTGCCCATTCATACTAGCCGGTTGTGTTAAAGTGAAGTAAGATATGTGTTATACTGCAACATGCGGCAATGTGTTACACAAAGTGCAGTGCATTGTGGTGTCATTCATTTTAAATAGCATCCTAATGCACCTAGGCAACAAAAGCACAAGAAACGTGTGCATTGTAGCACAGTGCAATGCACAGATTTGTACTTTGTAGTCCACCATTAAAATAATAGTCGCTTTTTCCATCTATTAAGATGCACTGCCAGACCATTCAAAATGACCAGTTGACTGTATTGCAGTGTGCATTAACACACAGAAATGTATTAGGTTAATGTAATGCATAGTGTGAATGAAGCCTACCTAAAAAACACTCTAGATTTCGTCAAACAATGAATATGACTTCAGCACAGAATCACGTTCCAAAGGCAACTATGTGCAAATCAGAATTTAGCAGATCAGGGAGGGCAGATAAATGGCATATCATCGGTAGTGTATAGATTTTAATGAACAAATACCATATTTGTTCTGCAGATTTGTAGATTCTTCCACAAGTAACTATCAATATATTGCATAGTGTTGCCACCATTGCTGCTAAACTAATGCTCTATGCATAATGAATGTAGCATTTCATAAATGTTAATAGGATGCATCATCCAAGTTTGATTTTAAAATCATTCAGTTGTTACATCTCTTATGTTTTAATGCTTATTTTAGTAAAAGTGTGTGTCATATCGGCATGGGCTGTTTTCACCTAGTTTAACACCTATTCAGGACCTCCGGAATTTAGAGGCAAATATTATCTCAACTGGTGGCATTGTGCAATACATGTTTGATGCGGGAGATTAATCCCCAACAATGTTTTTTTCAAATGAATAACAGCCTTTGTTAAGACCTGAAAAAGAGCCTTAAAATACCATCAACCAGCTCACAATACCGTCAGCTATCGCATAATACCATCAGTTTTCTCTGGATTGTAAGCTCTTTCAAGCAGAGACTCCATCTCACACTGGGTAGGAGGTCTGTATTTGTAAAATACATTTTAATCAGCATTTTCCTTGGAGCTATGCTACTTGCTTTGTAATCAAGTAAAAATATTTACTTTTAATTACCGAGATATACTTACACTTCCAGTTAGGGCCTATTCAGACCACAAAGCATGTGTTGGCATGGGCTGACACACTTTTTTTCAATGTACTGCATTATGTTTTTACATGCACTGAAATGCATTTTTTGTATGTATTGTAGTGCTTTCTTTCACTTAAAAACTCTTTACTCAAAGGAGTCTTCATTTAAAGTAGTATTAAACTCTTAAACTTTTGTTCAATGATGAATCCAGATCAAAAAAATATACATTGCCTAACAAAGTAAATGTTTGCCCAAGTATTTACAGTCATCATGTTTCCAAACAGTTGGCTCCAACTCTCCCAGCTCAGCTTCACTAAACTTCATGTCCATAATTTAATTCAGGAAATAAGGACAAAAGATGGAAGTACTGCAAAACGTAAATATTGTTTTTGCCAATTTTTTTTAAAGAAAATAAAATAGCATAAATAGAATGGGAAAGTATATGGCCATCAGATTGTCGCTTTGCTTACATAGTTGTGGGGTCTTACGGAAGCAGTAGTGATTCTTCCATCTTTGATCATTCCAAACTTGGGCAACGATTGAGGAATAATAGGCTCAGTATTTTAGAGAACAGACCATGGACCGGAACCACTGGACCAGCATACCCTTTCTTTTTTTGTGGGTGATTAGGCATTTGGGCAACTGAACATATAATGCAGCCTTATTCCCAAAAAGGGTCTAAGCCAGTTAATGCACAACAACAGAAAGTGCTGTGTCTACAGAATTATCAAATGCACTTTGGGTATACTGGCAAACAAAATGTTGGATATTACACGCCAAATGACTATGTAAAGGAGAGGGACAGCTATATCTTTGCGGACTTGTTCCACCATAACCTTGAACACCCTCAATGGAGCTCTTCTAGGGAGAATATGTTTGCCCTAACAATCCAAAAGAAAATGGTGAGTACTTGAAGTCCCCTGCAGGCAAGATTTCCTGGCAGGGACAGATGGCATAGCTTTCAAATGTTATGGAACAGTTACATACAGGCGTTCGGGTGGCTGTAGAGCCACCCAATCGATGGCATGGATCTGCTTCATCAGCTCCTTTGGGGGTTCTAATAGACCCCTGATGTCTCCATAAAGAGGACCTGTCACTGTATATTTGCTATCACATAGGGGCTTGTTATCCCACTATGTGATAGCAATAAAGTTAAAAAAAGTTTGAAAAAAATAAAAGTCACAAATAAAAAAATGTAAAAAAAACAAAAAAAAAAGTCCCCCATCCCCATGTACACACAAATAGAAATGCAAGCATGTGTTGGGTGCGCCTATGTGCCAAAACAACAACAGATCACTGCAAACGTCGGAGTGCAAGCAATAATCCTAGGGCCATAAATCACTTTTAACAGTAACTTGATGAGCAGTTAATGTTTTTAAGGCATCACCTATGGCCAATCTTGGGTAATTTTTTTTTGAGAGTTCATGGGTGCACACAATTTTAAGGCTTGACATGTTTGGTATCTATGTACCCGACCCCATCTTTTATATTTTACCACAAAATTGGCTAAAAATAAATGTTTCATAACATAACATAGGGAAAACAATTTTTTTTTTCAGATTTTTCAGTACTTTTTTCTTTATATAGTAGCAAATTGAAAAATGCAGTGGTGATTAAATACCACCAAAAGAAAGCTCTATGTGTCCCCAAAAAAGTATATAAAATTCATATCAGCACAGCGTTGCATGACGAAATAAATGTCAGTCAAAGTACCTCAGCACTGAATACTGAAAAATGGCCTGTACAGGAAGGGGTTTTAACCAGTTGACATCCGCGGTGTTAAACCCCCTTCCCATCCAGGCCATTTTTCAGCATTCAGCGCTGCGGTACTTTGACTGACATTTATTCCGTCATGCAGCGCTTTACTGAAATGAATTTTATACCCTTTTTTGGGGACAGATAGAGCTTTCTTTTGGTGGTATTTATTCACCACTGGGGGTTTTATTTTTTTACTATATTAAGGAAAAATCACCGAAATTAAAAAAAAAAAACAGTTTCCCCTATATTAAATGATAAAACATTTATTATTACCCAATTTTTTGGTAAAATATAAAAGATGGGGTCACGTCGGGTAAAAAGACACTAAACATGTCAAGCCTTAAAATTGCGTGCGCGCGCGAAACCTCAAAAAACGATAATACCCAAAATTGGCCATAGGCGACGCTTTAAAAGCTGTTACCGCTCATCAGTTTAGTGTTATCAGTGATTGATGGCCCTAAAATGATTGCTCTCACTGCGACGTTCGCGGCGATATGTAACATGTGTAGCGCAATTGTAATTTTTGCGCGCTGGGGCACCGGACGCGTATTTACGTTTATAGGCGTGTAAAAGTGGGGGTAGCTGCTCTCCCTTTCCTATCCACACACACTGTATGAATGGATAGGGTATGGGTTGAAATTTAAAGAGTAACCACACCCTGTTTTTTATTTTTTTTTTATTTTCAATAAATAGTGTCTGAAATGAATAAGATTGGGATGCTGCTGTATGTAATCAAAGTGGTAACATTCGTCACCCTTACACTTCACGTGAGGCAATTTGCTGCCAGACCTGGGCCTTTCTTTTTTGTCCTTATACAAGCATTTAGTCCCCATTCACACGTTTGCGTCAAAAACATACAACGCGATTGCAGTGTCATTAACTGTTAATAGCACCCCAAATGCGGCTGCGAAAATGGGGCTTTTTTTCCATGCATTTTGATGCGAGTCGAACGTGCACAAACATGTGGGATGCTGACAGCTGAAAATGCTGCGTGAACTACTTCCCCGCATTTGTTGCACATGTGGCACCCTTTGAAATCAATGGGTGACGTGTGGCAAATGAGGGAAAAATGCATGCAAATGCGACCTGCATTCATGGAACACGAGGGTGTGATTGGGGACATGCAGTGCGAGGTAGAAGGAGGCACTTTAAGGGTATTATTTTTAATTCTTGGAGTTCAGTTTTAATATACTGTATCTAAACCGATGTGGCTTAAAACATTGGTCCTATTGAAGGAATTTAAAAACAATCTACACTTGAACTTATATTGGGTATTTGAAGTGAACACAGACCAGGATAAAATCTTCTTCTTTAGTATATCAGCCACAGAGAGTTTTATGTTTGTTTTACTTCTTAACAGATCTTACTGAACTGTTGATACACAAAACATTCAACAAGTGAGTGCACTTTTTATACCTGATCTGTTTGTAGCATTTGTTTATGTTTTATTTGTCAACAACACGTTTCACAGCACTTTATAGTATATAGATCAGATCACTTGCGGGAATTTGAACCCGATGCCAAAGCACTGTAAGTCAAGTATTCTAAACATGTAGATGGAATGAAAGTTAAACAAAGAGCTTTATTTCGATACACGCAAAAAAATTGAACTGTAAGGAAAAGTCATAGATAACTTTTTAGAATTGAAATGGTCAATTTTGATGTGATATCAGCCTGTTAGGCTGATATCACATCATCTGTTAGGCAGGAATTAGAAAAAGTCCTGGATTTACAAACCCTTCCTGCTGTCTCCTATATATATCTGCAGTGGGTATCACTTCAAAGCTGGATGGAAGCTGATGAGAGGTGCTCTGGGGATTTAGAGGGGTGGTGGGATAGGATGTCCCATGGTCGGATCCCCTCCCAGGCACTTTGCATAAATAAATAAGTCAGTTCAGTGTGTGCAAGGAGTGGAGGAGGTTACACAAGGGGGGGTGATCCAGCTGGCTCATCTGATCCCTGCAGTTCACAAGGAGAGAGCAGTGTGTGTCATGTTACACAGGAGAGAGGATCAGCCGCAGCACAGCTCCCAGTCAGTTGAGAATTACACCTTCCTAATGGGGACTTTTATGTGTGACTTCTTTACAACTCTCACAACTCAGTGAAGTTCACAAAGACAAGAAAGGAAACTACAACCAGAACAGCAACGGGATAGAACTTTCCAAAAACTTTTCTTTCTCTTTTTTTTCTATATTTTATTCCTTGGAAATATAAAAGCTGCAGCAATCTATTTATTTGCATCTCCCAGCCTCATTCCTGTAACCTGCTTGGCATCTACTGAACAGCTGTTATTGATCCACCTGGGTATATTAACCACCAGTCAGAATTCTGGATTCTGTTCCTTGGATTAAGATTGTGGATTATTTATTCTATTTATTTATTTATTATTCCTCTGGACAGCATGGAGGGGAAGGAAGTGTGGAAAGGTGCTGCTAGCCATGGTAGCGTCTTCTCTAGGAGTTGTAAGAACATCCCCTGTAGGACAGAGAACTGTGGGAAGTGCAGCAGGTTCCCTGCACTCTTGGGATGTGGGTTTGCCCTTGTATCAGTATTTTCTCTGCTTCTTAGTCTTCTGGTTTTGTGTAGAACTTCTGACCTGCAGTCCAGGGTTTCTGATTTAGAGAAGCTGCGATACACTCAGCTATCTGCCTTAGTCTCTGCAGACCAAATGGAGACAGCTATTTTGGGAAGAGTTGACCAACTGCTGGAAGAGGTCTGTACATATTTACTTATTACACCTTCCTGCTTACTCCAAATATTGAATGAAAAGCAGTGATATCTGCACATTACACACAACCTTCAGCGGGGGAATGCGCAAAACAAAGTTGATCCATCTATATTGTACCTTTCAAACTCAATGTTATTTCCGCTGTAATTATATCTGTTGCAGTGGCATTCATGCCTGAGGTGTTCTTAGTAAAAAAAAAAAAGTTTGATTTCAGTGTGAAAAGTTCTAAATGTAATGAATGCTGAAATGGTTACCATAGTAATTTTGGATGGCAGGAACTCCTGAACAGCTGCTGAGAAATGTGTCTCAGCAAGAACATGTCAGAAATTGTTTACCTGTGTTATTAGTTTAATGGTTTACAAGGAGTAACCTGTTGTAGTGATGTCTTTATCTACAGCATTCCTTTTAACACGTGTCTCCATTGTGGGTTTCATCAGCATTGCCCATTGTTCTGTACTAGGGGGCATTGACTCCTAGACTTCTTTTGGGACAGGCAATTGTAGATACTTACCATCCTTACTATATGGGATGTGGAACTCTTCCTTTTTTGTACAAACCAATGTATGGCATTCCAGATATTGGAGATCTACATGCTAAGCAAATGGCGGGACACACTGAGACCTCTAGTTCCTCAGTGGTTGGTAGAGCTTAAAGTAAAGATTCATGCCACCAGTGATGAGCTACATTGGTTTATGCAATCAAAATGGAAAGCCAAGCAAAATGCCATTGTTTTTAATGGTGGCTTTATATACAACTGACGTGTGCACTGAAAAATGTAGGACATTGTTGCATTTTATCACCGCACACAGAGTATTGCAATGTTCTATGACATTTAAAAAAAACCACAGTAGAATAATGCTGTTACAGAGCATCAAAATGCATTTTTGTGCAAATTGTGTCAACAAATGTGTTGTGATGTAAGTGAGCACTAACGTATTATAAGCATCATAACCAACAATAGCTGCTAAAAGAGCATCTGTCAAGTCAATTCTAATAATCATAATCACCTTATATTTTTTATAGGTCATAGTGCGTGATGTACTATGGAATGAGCAGGCTGTGATTTTTATAACATTTGTTCTATATGACTGTCAATTCAATATGGGAAGTTAATTTGGATAAATACATGCTCAAGCCATAAATTGTGAAGCAGTCAGTATCATCTGAAGTGTGAGTGACAAAGCAGAACCGTTTATTGCCACAAGACTGATTATGCAATAGGTCTGTAAAGTACAATGTCAGGAAAATGATGCCTCGGGGCTAATTTTTACTGAAGTTTATAAAAAAAAAATGTGTGTCAGTACTTACGTAGATTTAACAAGCTTTAGCATATAGCTAACAAACGTGTTTTAAAGTGACTCCAGAGCAAGGCTCTCCAGAAGCATGCTGGGGTATCTAGGATAATAAATAGTCCTCCATGGGGTGGGAGTATCGAAATGAATGCAGAATAGATGCTTAATTCAGTGTACTCATTCATTTGCATTTTTAGCGTCAATGCTGCCTAAAGCACAAAACATTTTTGCAGTAGATGTTTTCATCAACGCAAAGTGATGTTTCTACTCTTGTAAGCAGTCGTGGTATATGGGCATTTACAATATAAATATTGGACGCGTTCATTAAAATTTTGAGAGGTGTTGTTGACAGGCTAAAGAAAAGCTTAAAAGTGCTGCAAAATTACACTCATGTCTATGAGCCTTAATCACATATTCTTTGTTGCTTCAGAGATCTCCTCAATAACAGCCTAATTTTAAGGCAACGTATCATTAACATTGTTATGTGTATTCCATTCTGTTTGTACGGAATGCTATAGAGATCACTGCTCTTTTATTTTGTAGTAGGAGTACTATAAAACATACATATAAACAGTCTCTTCAGATGACTTATTACACACCACACAGGCACTTAAATAGAGATATAACTACTATGTATCTTTCACCTTTGTGCAGTATGTTATTTAAAAATGATAGGAATGGTGACCTCTTGTCTACGGTTCCTTTTGAAGTTATTTTTGGGACCAAAACCTACTGCTGCTCAAAACAGCAACATCTATGGGAATGGATCAGCCTTGTCACAGAGCCTTAGTGCCTACTACATCGTGATGCACTGCAGGAAAATGTGTACAGATCTCACCAGTGTAAAGTGAAACCCTAATGATGCTTTAAATTGCAAATCTCCTGCATAGCTACTTAAAGTGTATCTAAAGAGAAAACTTTTTTTTAAAGTTGTGGCGGTGGGGTTTAGAACTCTTGTCAGGTTTTTATGGGTGCCTGTGCCTCCACTAGAGAGGTTCACCCTCTCTATATGTCCTGGCGACCACTGTTACCAGAACAGACGTGAGAGAAAATCAATTTCGAGTTGTCACCAGAACTGTTTTTGAGTGTGAATCTTCCAATGGGGACACTTGACAACTGTCTAAAAACAGATTTCCTCTCACTCCCTGTTGCATCTATAGGGCGGGAAGTGAAGGGAAATATCCTAAATGGGACACAGATGACAAAAAAAGCCAATCCCTACTTTATTCGATATGAAAAAATAAACATTTTGGCTTTAGATATACTTTAATATTGTTACATTAATAGTTCATTGTGTAAAATGCCATAGATTTCAATTCATGTGTCTTCCTATGTTGACACATGAACCACATCTTGAGGAGAAAGGTTTATTTCTGATAGTGGTTGTTCCTCTGGGATAATGCGGGTGCAGGGAGTATCTGTTGAATTCATATAAATGTAGACATGTACTTTCATGTGATTATTGTTTGCATGTCTGAGCATTAATCAGTTAATAACAGAATCCTTGTAGTATAATAATAATAATAATAGGATGGAAGTGTTATTGTGTATGCATGTCCCATTGCCAACTAATGCCTGTGACTAGTTCAAACCTCTTGGGTGACCTCCTAGTTAATATAACATTCAAAAAGTCAGACGATTGCCACATTTTTCCTATGCATACTCCCTTATGTGGCCAGTATGTTGTCTCTTCTACATCCTGACACAGGATTGTCACCAGCGTTAGAGATTTCAGCTGTCTGACATTTTACTGCTCAAGGTGTCTTGAGCTTTGGGATTTGGGATTTTATTTGAATTGTAGAAACTGAAGTTAACAATGACTCCAACTTAATACAGTTTGTCTTATGATAAATGTTACATTATGAAAATGTTTCTAGCCCCCACAGACTTGGCACTGTAAGTCCAGTATTTAAGATTTAATGTGACTGCACATTGTCATGTAGCTGAAGTGCATTTATCCAAGATCAACCTTGGCAGATGAATTCTGGAATAAAAAATATCAGCTTAAACTTTTCTTCTGCTATGCCATTTTGATTGCAGAGCAAACGCTTATGCTGCTTTATCAGTCTATAGGGTATAGCTCAGATAATATGTGCAAAGAAAAATCTAATTTATTTATTCATTATTTAAATAAACAGTCTTTAAACAGCTGGCAACATAAGCCTGTGTAAGGCCAACCATATAAATGCATTTTAGGCTGCTTATCTCATGGCGATAAGCAATGACGTTGGCTCAGAAAAATCCATTCTTGCCGATTGTATTTTCATAGAAAGCTCAGCCAGGGCAAGAATGGCAAGGTAGAGTAGACATTGTTTATATGTTATTGCCCATCCTGACTGCAACAGCAAGGTGAGGTGAACTTTATCTTATGTCTGTAGGAACCTTCAGAGGCATGGGTGTTTGACCGTGTTTTGCAAACAACCATATACAATTTACTAATTAAAGTGAAATCACTCTATTAAATGATAGGTAATTATTACCTGTTAGCAAAGATATATTACAAATTAAAATGATCAGCCTTTGTATTTAGGAATATATTGACCTTAGCAATAAAAAAAAAGGTAATGTAAGGTCCATTCGCAGTTAACCGTGAAAACACTTGGGAAAGTGTATGCAGAATTATTGACCATTGCAAGCGACAGGACCATGTCTTTGGAGAGACACCTTTTTGCCATTATGAAAGTACACCTGACAACCAAAGGTTTGTTGGTTGCAAGCACACAGTTGTAAATGGACACTTACAGGCCTATTCACTAAAGGGTGAAGGGTTTGGAGAAGGCAGGAGAAGGGAACAATCTAGGACAACATCGCTGAACTGGAAGGTGAGAATTGGAGAATTTTTCCAAATCATCTATTTTGTCCTAGATTATTCCCTTCTCCTGCCTTCTCCTAACTCTTCACCCTTTAGTGAATAACCCTGTTAGATTTGGATTGATACCACACCAATCTAACTGTGTTGCTCTGTCTATATTGGTTTCTATATTGTGTGACCATTTGGAACAGGTCACTTTATGCTTGTGTTTTTCTTAAAGTATATCTAAAGCCAAGTTTTTTTTTTTTTACAGTAGGGAATGATTAAAATCCTTGTCAAGTTTTCTTTTGTGTTGTTTAACATATTGAGGAGAATTAAAGTGACACTAAACTCAAGGTTACATCTTAAAAATGCATTCATGTACCCTAACTATTGATGTAAATGTATCTTATGCGCAGCTATAGACCCTCAAATGATCTCTAAATTGGTGCTGGAACTGTCCTTCCTTCTGGAGGGTGGCTACTTTTTTTCTCCATGGTCCCTGTGTGTGTTGTAAAGTAGCCACCGCTCCAAGCTCACTCTCGTGATGGACTACAATATCAATACAAATTAGTAAACTAAACATGAGATTGAAGTTCATCACAGGAACGAGCATGAGGCGGTGGCAACTTTATAACACACACACACAGAGCATGGGAAACAAAAGTAGCCACACTGCAGAAAGAAGGACAGTGTCAGCACCAATTCAGAGATGATTTGAGGATTGGAGTGATGCTCAAATAAGGTACAATTATGTTAATAGTTTTTTTTATATTATTCAAATTTTATTAAAAGTTTTCAATAACAAAAATAGAAAACAATCCTTACCAACAGATAATTGGAATAGTAGGCAATACAGGTTACACAGTCAGGCTAAGTACAAGAGGCGTACAATTTACCGC